GTAAAGTTCCTACTGTTAATATATATAAACTTAATTTTTGATTAGTAATATAAATTGCTAAGAACTTCATTTGGACAACTTTAAAGGCGATTTTCTCTCATTTTTTTTTTTTGCACCCTCAGATTCCAGATTTTCAAATAGTTGCATCTCGGCCAAATATTGACATATCCTAACAAAACATACATCAGTGGAAAGCTTGTTTATTCAACTTTCAGAAGATGTATAAATCTCAATTTCAAAATGTTGACTGGTTTTGTGGTCCAAAATTATAAAACTGACCAATTTGATGAGAAATATTTTATTCAGGAACCAAGACAGCACCATTGGAAGACAAGAACTCATCGTCAGCATGACCCAATGAATACTGAAGAATCAAGACTTCACCATTGGAAGGTCAGGACGCAACGTCAGTATGACCCAATTAATATTCATCTAAACCTTTGCCATAGTAGGACTTGCAATTTCATTGACAGAAGGTCGAAAATCATAGTGAAAAAACGGACTGGAATCTACATTGTAGCTGGATCAGCCATACATTCTAAAAATAACCTGAGCAGGGTCCGTTGCCAATAGGAAGTATAGACCAATAATGCGTCAAATTATTTGAATCTTTAAGGACTACTACTACATCCTTTTTAAAAGATGATAAGGCTTAATTACATTTTAAACTGCTAAATAAAACATCATCTTGTTAATTTCCATTTACAGCTAAATACAGCCTAGGGTATTGCTTTCAGCTGAATTCATGTGCATTAATGAATTAAATATTAATGAGGCGATTCTTGATTCCATATGAGATTGATACAAATAATTTTAACCAAGGCAAAATGTAGAATGACCTTTATTAATATCATATCAAACATTACTAATTCAGTGCTTAATTTCATTAGTTGATGCACCTTCAAACACTAAAACATGACATTTTACTGACCTGTTCAACATTATACAATGTAAATAACTTTATAATACAATTATAGTGTTTCCATAGTATTGTTCAAAGCACCCGTTTCTGACTCAAAGAATCAATTTCTCACACCTTTGGGTTGCGCAGACTATAGATGAGATTTAAACGAGAGCAGATTGAGATGATAGGATTATGGGCTAAAAAGGTGAAGTGTATTTTATACCTTATTAAAGAATTAAGTCGTTTACAGGATGTGAAAACAGTGCTGGTTTACCTTTGCAAACAATTGCATAACACAAACACTGTAAAACATCAGGCTTGCATTTAAGGCTGTATATGAGAACAACTGAGACAACTGACTCTTAGCAATACTCACCAACCTTAGCTTGCAATTATTGTAGTTCACCATCAGACAATATATGGCCCACATAACATCAGTAAGAACACCTACAAGGTAACCTTGCTCCAAGCTAAATCCATGTTAATTAATTTACACGGTGATACAGGTAATGGTAGCAGGTGATGGTAACACATTCACCAGTACCTATATGTTATAGAAACATTTGGAACAGTCCTGTTTACTTACATCAATGTGTCATTGTGTAACCCAGTGGGTTTGGAGTGAAGGCTAAATTGGAAACAGGAATATTCACAAATAAAGATGTTTTCATTGTTCATACACAACCAATTATAAAGAGAGCTCAGTGTGTGTCCATGTAAAATTCTTTAGAAATGTGTAGCAAACAGCAGTATGCCGACAGTTCTTGTGTACACTCAAAACCTTAGTATGGAAGTACAAGAGAGGGCAAAGGGTGGAATATTTTGGAGCGTGTCAGTGTGTGGAGAAACAGAAACCCATCCACTGAAAGCACCTCTTTAAATCAGCTCTTACTCCACGACAGCCACCACATGTTTCTCCTTTTCTGTCAGCAGAGGAACAGATCCCGGCTTGCTGTGTTTGTGGACGTTTTGTTCCCTAAAAAACACACACAGAGAAGCACAGACAATCAGAATGCTAAACAAACTTGAACATGGATTCATTTCATTTTGCTGCCAGTACAAAAGAGCCAAAAGGCACAAGATACAATGAGATTTAAAGTTGAAATGTGTCATTTTCCCCAAGCTTTTTCAAAGAAGTCTGATGTTGTTATGGTATGCAACACAAGGTTTCCAGGTGCTGCAAATTAATGAATTTTGGGACTTTAATTGATGGACTAGAGTTGTGCGGATTGCATGTGGAATATTGTGATGTTTTTATCAGCTGTTTAGATTCTCATTCTGACGGCACCCATTCACTTCAGAGGAGCCATTAGTGAACAAGTGATGTAATGCTAAATTTCTCCAAATCTCTTCAGCAAATTGCCATTTTTGGGTTAACTATTCCTTTAACATTGGTGAAGGGAACTTACTTCCTGCGCCGGGCTTCCTTCATTTCCCGCAGCTCTCTCTTCTGCTTCAGGACATCTCTGGGCAGGTGGCGGTGACGGGCGATGCGTTTCACCTGTGGATGGTGCTGAAATTTCTCTATCAGCTTCTTGTTATAGTTTGCAGCAGCTTTTTCTCAAGCTGAGAGCTGTGAACAATGAGATTTGTGTCTTTGGTCATGACAGCATACATGCATACACCATGCAACAGCAGAAAAGATTTTGCTATGGGTAGAACCTGCTTTCAAACTGTATTAATGTACGCATTTCTTATGAATGCACTTCATAAACACAACAATGGCAGCACAGACATGCAACATCCTGAGAAGTCTTTTTAATTCGGCAATCAACATAAAACCACATTTTTCAGTAGAAGAAACACAGCAACGTGCTCCTCATCTATCTCTCTATAATAAAATTTCTTCAGCTACCCGGCTTCAGCACGTCTCACTGCACACCCCTCCGAGGGCTTTTATTCTAATTAAAAGCAATGATTTTCTCAAATTCAATTTGTTTAGGGCAATCAAATAGCTGCTGATGCCATCAGAGCGCTCGGGAGGAAAATCGGAAGGCCTGTTAACTCTTATTTACGAATTTCTTGACATCGTTCACATGAGGGGGAAAAATGAACATGACTCTGCTGTTTCCATGGAGACATCCCATAATAGAGCTGTTGGGTTTGTAGTCCTGCCCAGAAGCGAATTAGCATATCAGCCATGGGATCGTTTAGGAATTTCAAATATAATTGTAGAATAACCTTTTACTGATTTATTAGTAAAATAGGTATTACTTGAAGAGACATTCACACCTTGTTTTACAAGATAAATTATACGCATTCAAACCTTTTACATCTGTTATGTTTCTAAAATTGCTAACAAGTTGCAACATAGGAACTACAACTACCATACTTATGCAGCAACTTATTTTTCTTTTACTGTACTAACTGTTATCGTAACCTGTGTTAATTGAAATAAAGCTGAAATAGAATAAAATAAATATCAGATGGAAAAACTACACAAAAATGAAAACTTTTAAATAAGCAGAGGTATTGGAATTACTAAATGAAAACTAAAATAAAAAGATAACTTTACAAATATATATAAAAAAACTAATAAAAATGGCAAAAGCACATTAAATGTAAAAAAATATATATATATAAAAGCTCAAAATATTGAAAACTAAAATATTATATAAATATTACTAAAATAACAGTTAATGACATGTTTTTCACATTACAGTAAGAATTTAGGTGAGAAATGTGTTTTATTGTCATGCAAACAACGTCA